CCTCTCCCGGCTGCCGGGTGCATGGAGGAGCCCCCCCGCCACGACCGCAGCCAGACACATCACACGGCTGGTGGAGGTGACGCAGGCGGTGCTCAATCTGCCAGAGGGACAGGTCCCCTGCACCAGCATGTACCGGCCGGTGGCTCAGCGGGTGGTAGGACAGCTACGAAGGATTTCTGGGCAGGACGTGATGTCAATGCTGCTACTGGAGGATGAGGAGGTGGAGGAGCGCATCGCCAAGTCCATCCACATCCAGACCTGCATACAGCTGGTGCTGCAGCCCAGCTGCTGCCGCGTCCCTCGGTGGCTGAGTCAGTATCTGGTGACGGCCATCGTTTTACTGGCAGTGGCTCTCGGTGGATCCATTGCGTTGCTCTAGTGATCCAACGATTCTTCGTTTGATCCTTTCACCACCAGTGAACTCTGAAAGGCTGCAAACGTTTAAAATGTACAGGCCCTGGTTAAAACGAGGACACGCTCCACTAGTCCAACACCTGGTAGACACACCAGAGTTTGGCACATGTTAGTTTTTAGCCTTTGTGGTCAAATTCAAATAAAATTTAAGAAAACTCTTTGTGGGCAGCTTTGTGCAAAAAAAAAGTCCCAGTGCCCGGAACAAAATGGGGGCCGTGGACGAACCAAGGGACCCCCGAGAGGAGGTACGCCTCACACTGGTCCAGGAATGGTCAAATCTGTTTTTCTTAAATATTGTTTCACATTTGATCTTTTTTTATTGCAAAGTGAGTAAAAAACAGACAAAAGAACTGTTGAAAACAAGGAAAGAAAACTGTTGTTTTATGACAACAGGAAACGACCGTCACAGCAGAAACAAACCACAAGAGGAGCAACAGCGCAGGAGGGGAGGAGCCTCAGTGGACGACGGACGTCTAGGCTTCAGGAGGGCATTTTCACTGTGGAGTAGGTGACGGCCCCCTCCCCATCACCACCACCCTGGATTTGACACACACACAGAGATTACAGGTACTGCAGCAGCATCAACACACTGAGCTTCCATACAGACAACAAAGAAAACCAGGATGGGTTAAAGGTTAAATGTAATTAGTTTAAATTTAAACTTAAGTTAACTTTAACAAAAAATGTTCAATACCCCAGCTGGAAGAAACAGCAAACATTTGGTCATAAAAAACCACTCAGATTCTCACCACAGCGCCACCACTGGTCTCATTGGGGTAGTTGATAGTGGCGTAGGCAGTTTCTTCAGGACTGGCCTCCTAACAAGAGTGACGACTGTTAGCTCCAATGATTCACTTTATATTGACTAAGGTGACTTTTGCTAACAGAGCTAACTTTTTATTTGACTCTTTTTAGTCCAATTTTGAATGAATTATTTCTATTTCTATTAATTAGTTCAGATCAATTGTCACCTGGTTGTGGTGGTCTCTTTCTTTCTTCTTAGTGAAGGTGATGGAGGCGTAGGAAACATCTTCAGGTTTGACCTTCACAGTTTGGAAAACGTGACTGGACTGTTAGCACAGCATGTTCTAAACCTAAATATTACCTGGGGCGAAGAAATGGGCTAAATGCTAAATTGTTGGACTGTAAAACTCACTTCATCCCGGTTCCTCTGGGTCTGGATTCCTGTAAAGATAAAGGTGAAAGTTCACTGGAACCCAAAAAGCTCAGGACAAAGTTCTGTCAAGTTCACGTCACTTGAACGTTCCCACCTTTACGTCTCCTGCACATGATGATGATGATGATGACGACAACTGTGAAAAGTATCACGGAGGTCACGGGGGCCAAGAGGACGTACAACCACCACAGCCCTGAAAAGACAACACAACCATCTCAACACCTCAGGTGTCTCACTCACAGGGATGGAACGACAAACGTTTGTTTTTAACCAAATGATCCTTTCTTTATTGAGAACTGAGTCAAATCCCATCAATGACTGACATGGTCTGTGAACCTCATCAACTGACAGAAACGCTGGAACATCTCCACTGATCTGCTCTGATTAAACTGGTCAAACTGGTCTGGTTGACCTGGTTAACTGTCAATATATGAAACAACAACAGAAGAAGAAGAAGAAGAGAACAGCAGACATGCTGTTAACGTGCTGCCCCCAGCAGACGCCAACCATGTGGTTCCTCTGGGAATCGAACCCAGGACTCTCTGCTTCCGAGGCACGCTACACTATGGAACCGACAAAACCACTTTAGCCAAAGGTTTTAGTCAGTGCTTTGTTACGTGGAATTTTTTGTTTGGTCACAATATGAAACACCTGGTAAAAGGAACTGAAAGTGAGAGAAAACAACAACAGACAGTGAGTTGAAGAGACAGACTGAACCACTGACCTGGTCTGTTCTCAGGTTCTTTGGTGGTTGGTGTTGTGGTGGACCAGTCTGATCTGGTGTCAGTTTCTGTTGTTGCTGTTGATCAAACATAACAGTTGGTGCAGTGGTCTAGAGAAGGCAGGTCTACTTTAATGAACCCTCCTCAGGCCCAGGTCACCTTACCTGACAGGTCAGCAGAGCAGAGGTCGTCACATGGAAACTCTTTCTCAGTTGTAAAAATTTTCACCAGACATGAGAAGAGATTGACTTGATGACTCTGTGTCAGAAAGGTCACTGAGACCTGACAGGGAGACCTCTGTGATGTGTTCATGGTGTTTCCACTCACAACTGTCTGTCTGTTGTAGAACCAGCTGATTCTGTCATACTGGCTGGGGTCACAGAGGGGGCGGTAATGAGGCCTCATTGAGCAGGGTAAGGTCACCGTATCAGAATCTTGACTTTTATTCACTGGTGAAGGAAAAGAAGACATTGTGTCAAACCAACTGGATCAACATTTTTCTAAAGACAGTAAATATATACATATATATCTCCATAGTTTCATGTTGACCATGGAGCCTCTTCACTGTGACACTGTGGACACTTGAAGGAGACAGTGGTGAATGAAGCTGTTATTCTGACAGAACTGACGACATGAAATACTCACTGCTGACAACTGACAGAACACTGTCAACATCAGGACCTGTTTGAGTCCCAGAAACATCAAACTCTCTGCAGGTGTAAAGACCAACATCCTGGACTGTGACCTTCTGTCTGACCAGAGAACAGTCGTCCTGTCTCTGTGTCACTCTGTCATCTTCAGACTTCTTCTCTCCAAGTTCAAACAGTGCTTCTGCTCCTCGACCTCCTGTAACAAAGTAGACCCACACTGTTCTTCTACATTTGTCCTGATGTCCTAGTCCACCACAGGACAAAGTGACGTCCTCTCCTTCTCTGACAAGGACATCAGACAGTTGTCTTCCAGCTGCACCTAAAAAGTCAATAAAAAATAATGATAAAAATGACCAATACTGCTGCTGGAACTGAAGGAGGAAACATTTGAAGTCCTCTTTCTCAGTGATCTAATTCTGCACTCTGAAAACAGAGATGCACACACACACAATGCCAATAGGTGGCAGTAAGGACAGGTGGTTTAAGAGCAGCCATGTACGTCCATCTGGAACAACCAACGTTAAATGGGAGGGGGGGGGGCATGACCATGACGACTCCCACCTTGACATGTGACATGTTGAACTACTCATCACCATCACAAGCGGTCATCTGTCTCTAGGGAGGAGTGACCATAACGACTGGTCACACTTTGACTCCATTGTCAAGTGGAGAAGGGAGTGATCTGGAGAAGTAGAACTACTAGTGTTCTCTCCTAAATCAACCAGAAACTAATCAAGTTCTAACAAAACGTCTTTCAAGCTCCAAGAAGAAGTCCAGTTTCTGCCAACTGAACTCTTTGGATCCAACCCTCATGGTACAGACACCAGATCTGTTGAAAGGCTTCTCAATAATCGGATTCTTTCTGTTTGCATCTCAGCACCAACAACAACGACTGGTGGCAGATGTACTGGGTGTGTGCTGTTAGTGAAGTCAAGCTGAACCTGTGGTTTTGAGGGCGGGGGCACACACACACAGACACACACAGACACACAGCTGCTCCACTGCATGTGTCCATCATTTCCTGAAGTAGCAGCAGCAGAAGCCTCTCTCACCTCTGTTCCTCAGTTCTCTTCTCAGACCAGACTAGGTTCTAAAGTCCGATGAATCTGACTGATGATTGTTGGTTTGATTCAGATGAGAGGAAATGTAACAGTCACTGACACAAAAGAGGATTTCATGGAAAATAAAGTGACTTTTCTTCCTGCTCTTTTAAACCTGCAGCAGAGATCCACAGTGGAAAAATATGTTTCTGTCAAAGTGGTGTGTCTCTGCTGCAGCATCACTGGACAAAGGTTTACCATTGTTCCAATCCTGACATGGATGTTCTTTTCTTCTTACCTGTGCACAGAGGCAGCAGCAGCAGCAGTGTTGAACAGTTCATGTGACTCCGTCTGACAGCAGCCATCACTCTGCTCTGAGTCTGAGCAGCTCTGAGCTCTTTCTCTTCACACACTTCTCTTTTTAGTCAACTTCTTGTCACTGTGACACAGCACACCACTGCACACAGGGAGAAGTGACCTCTGCCTTTTACCCATCACATGTCTCCATGTGTAATATTTGTGTGTCTTTGCAGTTTTCATGTCATATCATCTACGTATGTATGTCAGCATGTCGCAGGTCAAACATGAGGACATGTCCCTCATCTAGACTTTTCAGACACCACAGTACAATCATCAAGCAAGGCTAGTTTCAAATAATATGAAGTCAACAGATCTTTGCTCCAAAGTAGTCAGATGAAGTTGATGAACTTGTCATGTAAACTGTTCATATTCTATCTGTCATACGTATGTATTTGTTTTGTTGTATGTGTGACTGTAATTCTTTAAATCTACAGTACATTTTACGTTGGCGCTCTATCTTTTTGTCCTCAATAATGTTCTGTGTTTCTCCACAGTTCTCTGGAACACGGACTCACCGCAGAGTGAAGTGTAATGTGGTTTCAGACTGACCTCTGCTGACCTTCCTTCCTGCTTGTCTCACGGGTGTTTGGTCTTCACTGGTCTGAGTTTTCAGGACGGCTGGAAGGTGGGGGACTTTTGATGAAACAATGTCCACATTTCTCTTTAAGCAGCAGTTTCTCAACTGTGTGAGTTCTTGTGAATTTACGGATGTGGATTTGTGACACAAGTGGAAAGATGATGCTGCAGTAGAGGTAGTAAAGATGGACGAGTTTAAATACAGAGAATCAGTGACGTCATCTCGACAAATAAAATTATATCGATGATGATGATAAAATTAATTTGTGACTGATCTATAAATGTATTTCTGTGCGTTTTCAAGGGCGGGGCGCAGCAGCCATGACAGTTGTCTTTTATTACTGACTGAAACCTTAATGTTCGTCGTTCAGTATTGTCTATGTCTGTCAGCGCACGGAAAGGCGAGGAACGTAATTTCGATACCTCTGTATGTTCTGTACATGTGAAGGTATTGACAATAAAGCTGACCTTGACCTTGAAACAGGTGCAGTTGGCGCATGCCCAGTACCGTCTCTCTTTATATCGTATTTTCATATACGTGTTTGATTATACGTGTGCTCCACCTGCTGGCGTTCCTCCGTCTGTCGAATATATGTAATGAGTTAGTTTAGATTTGCCGTAATGTACAAGGTGAAGCAGAGAGTACCACGCCGCACTGATAGGGGGCAGTGACGTGCGGTGAGGTGCATGACTGACTGTGCAGAGCCACGTAGGCACGTCAATGGTTTTGAAACGTCTTATTCTTAAACAACCTGAACAGGTGACTGTTTTTTATGTTGAATACAAAAGGAGTTGGAATAACTTGCATAACGTTTGTACAATGTGTCCACAACGAGGGGCGTTCAGGTACCATTGTGAATTTGAAAATTGCCGATTAAGGAACAGAAACAGCGTTTGGAGCAGAGCTGACTGTGGTGATAGGTTAAAAGCAGGAGTCACATTTCGTGGTGTGCGATATCACAATGACAAGTGGTTCACTTTTCAGTTTTTATTTCTACATCCGGTGCCTCACCGGCATGAACCTCAGCCCACACCCCGGGTAAAAGACAGGGCAAACAAGAAGTGAAGAGGGTGAGGGTGCAACTGTTGAAGACAAGTGTCTCTGTCGGAGGTGGAGGAGATGAAGATGTTGAGGTCTTCACTAATGTGAAGAGAACACGTCGGACAGGACAGGAGAGGAAGAGACCACACGAGAGGTAAACTCTTGGTGTAACAGCAGAGGAAGCAGAGGAACTGCTGCAGCGACCCCTAAAGGGAACGTTGATATAAGTGTACATTTTTTCTTTATTTTAAAATTTTGAAATTAAATTGACTTGATCGGTTTTGTCGCTGCCGCTCTGAGGGAGACGAACCAAAAGAACCGACCGGTTTCCTCTTACTGTTTGGTCAGTAGTATGAAAACCCGGAATTTTACAACGTGACACATAAAGGAAGTGTTCGTCGCCTTATTGTGTCTGTGATCTGCGGCAAAGCGGTTAAAACGCAGTCATCTTTCGACGAAGCAGCGATGTCT